CTTAAAAATAGTTAAGGGAGTTCTTGGTCATAGAAAATATGCAGCTGAAAATGGAATCCAAATGATGTTCAATTACTTTCACTTACAGGTTCTTTGTAATCACCTAAGGATGAGAATTCTTTGTCCTATTGTGCTTAATTCCAGTTTATCCATAAGGTATGGCCTTGATTACGTTGGGATTTTCATATGAGTTGAGTCAGGGCAGAAACATCAGTAGGGTTTCAGATAAAGCAGGAATCTTTATGCTGCAAGCAACAAATGTGATCCCCTCGCCCTTCAAGCTGATTAAACCATGTATCCTAGATTACTATCTTAAATGTGAATGAATAACTTAGATTAATATTCAATCAAAACCTTTAGGCATTTATTAATGTTGCTAGGTTTGCCGTTTCTTATGAATAACTGAAAAATATCAAAACTTGCAAGTGACTTGTTAGAAAACTGTGCATTAATACAACAAATGAACAAGATATTTATGTAGCCTCGAAACACCCAATAACCCTTCAGGTGGTGCTCTTCAGTAATTTTTGGACTGTGAAATTAGGAAGCACAAAAGAATTTAAAATAACATCTATTGTATTAAATTGAAGAAACATTAAATTAAGTGGGATGATATCAAATTTGCTTAATCAAGTACCAAACACTCCAATGTCACTTTGCCAGCTGGTGCAATACTGATTGCATTTAAGTAATAATTTTGAATGGTAATCATAATGGATACATTCATTGCTGTGGACAGAAGAGAGGCAGAGTCTGACATCTGGATTTTAGGGAATGAAGGTGTACTGTTTTCAGACCTCCAACATCAAAAGTTCGTTTTGGGTTAACGATCTGATAGTAGTTCTTTATATTCTTTCGAAAAAGGTAGTAGAGCAAGTCATTCAATGAAAATGTAGAATAATTCAGGTTCTTGCTCAGGAACCCTACACATTTCTCTTTAATCATACAGGCCAAAGGCTGCATTGCATGACGACCAGACACTTTTGCCAGTGGGGTGGTTAAAAATAGGGCCTTCCAGGGCTGTTGCAACAGCAGCCGAGGGATCCAGCTCTTAGCTGGGCAGGGGGACCAGAGTGGGAAGGCTGGCTATCCTCATTTCCTTTAATTCTGTAAAAGGAATTTCTGAATTCACTGGAAAAAACGTAGTATTGAGAAAACTAAGTTGCAAGAGGAAACATCAATTTCATCAGCAATTAAACATGATGTTTATTCACTTCGTAGTATTTCCTGCAGAATTGCTGGAGAAACAAAATACGAGATGGACGTAAATGAAACTCTGCTTTAAAGGAGGAATGTTTAAGACGCCTATTTATAGAAAGCTGGCAAATTACAAAAATATGGATTATTGATTTCTGATTCCATCATCCAACTTAATACCTGGGATTTTCACGGATTGAAAGTGGTTTTAAAAAGGGATCAAAAACACTGACTTCACATGGCCGTAGACATCACTTGATTCACATAAGTGGCCAAGTTTCAGGGAAGTAGTGCGGATTAGACAAGAGGCAGCCAACTGTAATCAAACGTTTTATCCAAAGGCAATGAAACCAACCAATAAACTCCCCTGGGGATGTGTGAAATGCCCCTCATCTCAAATTGATTTATACTTCTGAGAACGTTCAAATGTTAGAGATGGAATCAACCTGCAATTAACAAGCCTAAAAGCAGAACTTCTACTGAGATAGAATTTCCAAACAAGCGTTTATTACAAGGGGCTGTTTCTGACAAAGAACAGAGATAAAAATGCCAGAAGCAGCACAGAGTGTGGCTGAAAACTCTCTAGGAGAGATCCCATTGGCAATACGGATTGGAAGGAGGCATCAGGACATGGAACTTAGAATAACGAATATTTTGTTCTGATGATCCCAGAAACAAATTAACCAACCATAGTCTCAAGTTAAATTCTTATACCTCAAGGATACCCAAAAGTTCTGAACTGTATATTCTTTTTGAGTGAAAATGTGGGGTAATTCCAAAACTGCTATATTTGCTTGATTCAATTTTACCAGAGGTTAAAAGTATAAGTGATGGCCTTAAAAACTAACTTTTTTTAAGTGGCCAACTGCAGAAGCAACTTACGCCTTTCATCTGCTTGTTACAAAATCTATTACTTTTAACTGCTAAGCACACAGGCATGACGACTTCATAGAAAACAGAAAACTACAGGCCAGTTAGTATAATTTCTATCATAGGGAATTGCTTGAATGCAATATTGAAGGAGATTACAGCAGAAAAATTAAGAAAAAATAAAAAATCAGGGAGAGTGAATACTGTTTTCTGAAAGGAAAATCATTTAAACATTCATTAGAACTTTTTGAGGAAGTAAAAAGAATGATAAAGGGGAGTCCAGAAGACTGCGTATTTAGATTATGATAGAGGTGTAGGGGATTATGATATGGGTGTAGGGGGCAATATATTAGCATTGATAAAATATTGCTTGTTTTACAAACAGTAAATAAGAATAAAAAAGGTTCTATTTTGGTTTAGTTAGCTGCACTTGAATTTTTAAAAACTTTGCATGACATGTGGCTAATACTGGCTTGGCCAATATTTATTGCCCATCATTACTTGTTGAGAAAGCGGTCATGGTGAGCTGTCGTCTTGACCCACTGCAGTCCATGTGATGTAGGTACACCCACACGCTTTAGGGAGTTCCAGGATTTTAACACAGCAAGACGGAAGGAATAGTAATATAATGTCTGAGTGAGCATGGGTAACTTGAATGGGAAAGTCACGCGCCCGTTACCCTTGTCCTTGATAGTAGTGGTTGTGGGCTTGGAAGGTGCAAAGTGGGGCACAAGGTGGCTCAGTAATTAGCTTTGCTACCTCACAGCGCCAGGGACCCAGGTTCATTTCCAGCCTTGGGCAATTGTCTATGTGGAGTTTGTACATTCTCCCTATGTCTACGTGGGTTTCTGCTGGGTGCTCCCGTTTCCTCTCAGTCCAAAGATGTACAGGTTAGGTGGATTGGCCATGCTAAATTGTCCGTCGTGTCCAGGGCTGTGAAGGCTAGCCGTGGTAAATACTCGGATAGGGTGGGTGGGGGTGGAATGCAGTCAGAAGGTCGGTGCAGAATTGATGAGCCAATTGTCCTCTTTCTGCACTGTAGCAATTCTGTGATTCTACAAGGAATATTGGTGATTTGCTGCAGTGCTTCTTCCAGTTGGTACAAATTACTGCTACTAACAGTCTGTGGTGAAGGGATGGTGACTCCTGTAATATGAAGAGGTATGGAATTTAAAACAGTGCTACAAGCTCTCTATTTGTTCACCTCCCTCCCCAAAATTAGTTATTTTTTTTCTGCCTCAGTAGCAGTCGATCTGTATAACTTACAAAAGACAGCTGTTGGTTTCCCAAAGCAGCCTTTCCCCTATTGTTGAGTCTTTAGTGATCACAAATTTGAAAACATTGTGACCTGGGTCAACCCCAGCTGGAACGTCTGACGCTAGAATTAATGGGCCAACAAATATTCCCTGCTGGAACAAACATCTGTGCTCCCCAGTGACAGCCAAACACCTTTAGCTATTAAAGGAAAATTAATAGCTTGAGTTGCATTAAAAAATTAGGAAAAATCTCTCCAATCCATTGCATCTCTCTATTTGTAAATATTCTACCTGGTTAACTCTGAACATACTGCCTTGGTGAATTCTGGCAAGAGATGAAAATCTCTTTTGCTGTTTGTCACACCTGCAGAGCTTATCCACAGCAGCTGAAAATACCTAGCACAAAAGACTTAGGTAAATTTTTCCACACTAGTCAAAAGCAGAACTCAAGATACAAAAAGAACACACACCTCTTCATGGGAACTTCATGGCACTGAAACATTAAAGTGATTGAACAGCTTTGCGAACCTGATCTAAATAAGCATAAAAACATTTCAGTACCAGCTTTTTATATAGGATTACCTGTGGTCATGATGAAAGGGGAGGCAAAGCAGCACACTTCTATCACCCACAAGTCAAAGTCAATGGGATCCAAGCCCATTCTGGGAACTTGAGCACAATCTAGCAACATCAGCGCAATATTAAGAACATGTCTACATCACCCTTAATTGGATATTAAAAAATTTCCATGGCGCATTACTTGATAACAGCTGCAGAGCTCTGACCTGTCCAACATCCATACATAATCAGTTGAACTCAAAGTAGGAGGTACAGCTTTGAAATTTTCAGAAAATATCAAATTGAGGTTATAGTTAATATGTACAATTCCACAAAAATATAGAAAGGCAAACAATAGGCAGGTAAGTGATAAATAAAATTCAATATGGCAACTGGGATTTATTTTGATAGGTATAATAATTACTCCATGCATGATGAAAGACTTAATGGAGCATAGAGTGATCCTGTTAAATTCATTAGGTTATTTTTTTTTAATTCATTAACAGGATGAGGGCATCGCTGGCTAGGCAACATTTATTGCCTATCCATAATTGCCCAGAGGACAGTTCAGAGTCAACCCAGGCCAGACCAGGTAAGGATGGCAGTTTCCTTCCCTAAAAGGACATTAGTGAACCAAAATGGGCTTTTCCAACAATTGACAATGGATTCATGGTCATCATTAGATTCTTAATTCCAGATTTTTTATTGAATTCAAATTCCACCATCTGCTACAGCAGGATTCGAACCTGGGTTCCCAGAACTTTTTCTGGTCTCTGGATTAATAGTCCAGCGATAATACCACTAGGCCATTGTCTCCCCATAAAGTAGATCAAAAGACTCTAAAATAAAACAAAGAACTGCAGATGTTATAAATCTGAAACAAAAACAAATACAAATTGCTGGAGAAACTCAGGTCTGTCAGCATCTGTGGGGACAGAGAGTGAGTTAGCATTTTGAGTCCAGTGACCCTTCTTCAGACCTGTTCTGAAGTTAACTGTTTCACTCTCCATAGATGCTGCCAGACCCAAGTTTCTCCAACAACTCCTGTTTTTGTCCCAAGATATTCTATTTTGTTCTGTATTCCATGCTACATTTTCAACATGAAAAGCACCAAAGAAAGCAAATAAGTGACTTAAATGTGTTACAAATGAAAGGTTGCAACAACCATGAAAGAACTGATTGCGTCTGTTTTCTTTTGAAGAGAGAAGGGCATGAGAAAAGCTGAAAGGAGATTTTTAAATATACAGACCGGTTTGATAGATTTCTGTATTGACACCCTGATTACAATTTTGGATTAGTCCAGAACTGCTGATCACAGTTGTTAAAAAAAATACTAAGATAATTTGCAGATTGCTTAGAACCCTTTAGGTTTTACACATTTCACAATGGGCGTGGACAAAATGTAATGACATCACTGCACACACACAGCATCCACCCAGCTACATAGTTCATTTGAAATACAATGTACTAATTTGAGCAACTGTGGCCAAATCAAAAGTAGTCTGCACTAACAACTGTCATCAAATATAAAATTTCTTAGCGTCTAAATGCAAGTTACTGGGAAATCAAATACTGAACATGCAATAATCATTCTTTTCCTTAATTTCCCCTCTGCCTTCCTTTAAGACAGTGACTGCATACTGGAGGACTGACGTAAATCAGCAAGTATCTGACTCAGTATTTTGACAGACTTCATAGCAAATGCTAACAAAATATTAGATTGTATAGCATATCACAGCAAATGCAATTCTGTAGTCAGCTAAGAACTTACAGAAAGAGCTATTGAATAGTACAACAAACTTTGTTTTAACTAGCACCTTACGAACCAGTACACTCAATAAACCTGCAAAAATTATATAGCTAATACTGTAAACTTCCAAAATTCACAATGTCCAAGTAGTCAGTTGAGGATGCAAGTGAGAAGGCTCTCTGCCAACAAGTTTTAAGACAAAGTTGTATTTGTTTAAATGATTTATGCTATAAATAAAGTTTAACAGTGATATGTATAGCCCTTGCATCACACTTCCATTATTTAGTGTGCGTTTTCACATTGCTTATGTGGACCTCTTGATCAACCGGAATACTTGATTAACTGGCACACTCCTGGACCCAGCAAAAAAATTTGCTGTAATTCCAAACGGTGACACTAGTAAATTCAAACATCTACCAACAACCCTGCTGAAACTGGTTAACTCAGCATGATCCTGGGACATAAACCCGGGACCTTCTTGTGAACAGCTCATTTGCTACCTAAATAAATCCACTGAGAGAGACTTTAAAAGGGATGAAATGATTGTGATTAATACCACAGCGCCAGTTCTATTCAACAATCAGTGCATTTGAAAAATTCATGCACTGAATCAACATACCTGGAGATACTGTAAAAAATTTGTATGCCATATGAGCCAAGGGGATCACAGTAATCATACAGTTATCACCATTTGTTTCTATGAAGTCATGTCTTGTTATAGCAGTGGGATCAATATGATGTTCTCTGAATGGTCTAATGAAAGCCTGCAAAAGGGAGGGAAACATAATTACAGAAACATAAACATTACAAAGTAATGCGTGAAAATTTTTGGCGTAAAGGTGTACCTGCAACATAATATCACTCTAACAATGCATAATTTCAGTACGATAACAAAAGTATACACACACACAAGTGAATAAAAGTCTGGATAATGTGATCAAAATAATGGTGAGGCTTTATGATTATCATGGAGTAAAGCAGATAGGAACTTTCAGAGCACACCCTGCAGTGGCTCACTAATACCTTTTTACAGGCAGTTACAACAAAAGCTGGCCATACCAGCCAGCAATGTCCACATCCTATGAACAAAAAAAAAATTGTAGAATTACAACTTCCTGATATTTGTACTTATTTACTATTGACACTTTGGTTCAGAATTGAATTGTTAGCAGAAATTAGTTTTTCATTATCTATAAATCATCAAGATTGAGGATGCCAATACAATTTAGCCTCAGCATTCATGGGCCAAGTCTTAACTTTGTCTGAACTAATGTTTTCAGTTTTCACAATGTTTAAACTCCATTTCAAGGTTTACTACACAGAAACCGATGGAGGAACTCATGGATTTAGTCATCAAGATTGAAGTTCTGTTCTGTTCCCTCTGCTACCCTCCCCTGCCCAGTATTGAAGTCTTCATGCACTCCCTCACCCCAACAAATTATAATGGGTGAACAGCATCATGTAAAATCACAAGCTATAAACAATAAAGTACGAAAGGTATTGCAGCTCACTGTTTGCAAATCATAATAACAAACTGAACATTAGGACATGTACTGACATTGTGTATTTTTCTGACTTCTGTCAAACTAATAAAAAAATCTTAATATTTACCTTGCCTAGTATAGGCAGATCAACAGAACCCCACGTGTCTGCTCCCCAGTGGACCAAGCCTGAAGCAAAATCAGCAGTAACCATCCCTGCAACTGGATTAAAAACATTCAAGCATAATTCGAATATTCAAAAACATATAAGATCTACACGCAATAATTATTAAGTGTTTGGAACAAATCCTTCAAATAAAATCTATCCAAAATCTGTATATTATTTTATAATTAATATTTACAGTAATGATCAACTTCCATTTAACAACTTGTATTTACATAACACAATACAGAAAGCTATCCCAAAGTGCTTATCAAAAGGATACAAAACAAAGGATATTCATGAGAAAAGCATGATTAAAAGAGACAGTTGGGGGGGTGGAGGTGTCTTTATTTCTTCACCCACCCTCTCCTCATGAAGTTATTTAGGAAGAGCACTCCGAAGCCAAGGACCCAAACAACTGTTGACATTTTTGTCAGTGGTACAGTGAATGAAGTCAGGAATGTGCATGTCATTTTTCTTACTTACACTGACAAGTTGTCAGCAATGTGGCAGGGCCGCAGAAGGCAATGCCATGAAAATAATTTAACAAGAATAGAAGAAACAATCTTGAGGAAATAGTAGAGGACCAGCTCAACGCAGAGGAATGAGGTGGTTAGATGACTAAAGGCAGGACAGGTTGAAACTAGTTCATAAAACAGAGTATCTCAGGCTTTGGAATAGAGGGATAGAGAAAGGAGATTACATTGGATTTATGTGAAGTGCTAATTTGGCCTCAACTGGCATTTGGAGTCCAGTTCTGGGTATCACACTTCAGGGTCGATGCTAAAATATTGCAGTGAGTGCAGAAGAAATTCACAAGAATGGCAAGGAGGTTTGCTAGTGTCACTTAGGAGGGTTTAAGCTAGTGTGGTAGGGGAGTGAGAACCAGAGCAGAAGGTCAACAAGTGAAATGACTGAGAAGTTAGAGACTAAGGCCAATCATGGCAAGAGGAAGAACAGGCAGGGAGACATGACTGAACAAGGTGGGATTTGCAATCCGAGTGTATTACTGTTAAAGCAAGAAGCATAACATGCAAAACCATGCTTCCTGTCAGTAACTAGTCCATTTTACTCCAAATGCACATATATCTTGTCCCTCAGTATCTTTTCCAATAGCTTCCCCACCACAGACTTCAAGCTCACCGGCCTATCGTTTCCTGGATTATCCCTGCATCCTTTCTTAAACAAGGGAACAACATTCGCTAATCTCCAGTCCTCTGGAACTTCACCTGTGGTCAACGAGGATGTGAAGATATCTGCTAATGCCCCAGCTATTTCCTCCTTTGCCTCTCTGATGTAGAGCTTGATTTAGTGCATGTAACTGTGATGTTGTAGTGATTACAAAGATTTGGGGTTGAGAGAGGAACAAGACTGGCGGCTTAACATTCCAGGATTTAGATATTTCAAGTGCGACAGAGAGGAATGTAAAAAGAAGTAGGAGAGTTGCATTAATGATTAGAGGGAATATCACAGCTGTACTGAGGGAGGACCCCTGGAGGGCTCATCCAATGATGGCATATAGGTAGACTTCAAGAGTAGGAAGGGTGCAATCACTTTAATGGGATTGTACTACAGACCTCCCAACTGCCTGTAGGCGACACAGGAATAGATATGTGGACAGATTATGGAAAAATGTAAAAACAATAGGGTTGTTGTAGTGGGTGATTTTGAACTTTCCCTACATGGGGCTCAGTGATTAGCACTGCTGCTTCACAGTGCCAGGCACCCGGGTTCAATTCCAGCCTCGGGCAACTGTCTGTGTGGAGTTTGCACATTCTCCCGGTGTCTGCGTGGGTTTCCTCCGGGTGCTCTGGTTTCCTCCCACAGTCCAAAGATGCGCCGGCTAGGTGGATTGGCCATGCTAAATTGCCCGTAGTGTTCAGGGATGTGTCGATTAGGTAGGTTATAGCGGGTTGGGTCTGGATGGGACGCTCTGAGGTCCGGTGTGGACTTGTTGGGCCGAAGGGCCTGCTTCCACACTGTAGGGGTTCTATGATCTATGATTAACTGGGACTCAGTGCCAGCAGCTTGGATGGGGTGGGGAGGAACTTCTTAGTGCATCCAGGAGGGCTTCTTGAAACAATATCTAAGTAGTCCAGCTAGGGAAGGAGCCAAAGATGACCTAGTATTGGGGAATGAGCCCAGCCAGGTGATCAAAGTTTCAGTGGAGGAGTATTTCAGGAACACAAGTTTTAAAGTTACTAATTGATAAATAAGAGTAGTCATCTTCAGGTGAAAAAAACTGAACCAGGGAAAGGCTAACAACCACAATATTAGTTAGGAGCTGAGAAATGTAGTTTGGTGGTGGCTATTTGAGGGTGCATCCATATGTAGGATGCTTTTAAAGGCCAGGTGAAGAGTGTTCAGGATGTTCCTGTGAAAAGAATAAGGATGGCAAGAATGGGGAACCTTGGATGATGAGAAATTGTGAGCTTAATCAAAAAGGCAAAAAAAAGGCACATGTAAGGTTTAGGAAACTGAAGACAGAGAGCCCTCCAAAAATATAAAGAAAGCAGGAGAGAATTTAAACAACAAGCTCGGAGGGCTAAAATGGGCCATGAAATGTCCTTGGCAAATAGCAAAAGGAAAATTCCAAGGCATTTTATACATATACAAGGAGCACGAGGGTAACTAGGGAAAGGGTAGGTCCACTCAGGAACAAAGGAGGGAATTTGTTTGTGGAGACAGGAAGTGGATGAATCCTTAACGAATACTTTGCATTGAAATTCATCAGAATGTGTTAGGCTATTTGACCAATTTTGGGATGGCTCTAATTTTACCATAGTCTCCAGATGTTAGGGAAGACCTGGCAGGAAGTCTTTTCTTGTGCCCAGTCCCAAAGTTGATGCCAAGTTTGTCCAGTTTTACTACTTTCAGGGGGAGGCAATGGCCTAGTGGTATTATCACTGGACTGTTAATCCTGAGACCCAGATAATGTTCTGGGAACCCAGGTTCGAATCCTGCCGTGGCAGATAAATTTTGAATTTAATAAAAGAAATCTGGAATTAAGAGTCTAAGGATGACCATGAATCCATTGCCAATTGTCAGAAAAAACCCATCTGGTTCACTACTGTTCTTTCGAAAGGAAACTACCATCCTTCCCTAGTCTGGCCTACACGTGACTCCAGACCCGTTACAGTAGAGAGATCATTTCTCCGTTGTGAGCGTGTCTAGGACCAGAGGGCAAAATCTCAGAGGAAATAAGGGCAGAGGCGTGGAGGAATGTGTTCACAGACAATAGCATATCTGTGAAATTCTTTACCGTAGAAAGAGGGACATTAAGTATATTCAAGACTGAGACAAATCTTGAATCAGGAAGCAATTAATGGTTCATGGAGAGAAGGTAGGAAAGGAGTTGAGGACTATCAGACCAGCCATGATCTTATTGAGTTGTGCAGTAAACTCAATAGGCCATGGCCTACTTCTACTCCTATTTCTTTTGGTCTTACAGGGAGAGAGGTGGGCATTGTTATGGAAATAGAAGGAGGTGATCACTTATAGAATCCAAAGCTCAATTTGGGATCAAATAAGATGGAACTTTCAGCTATAATTCCACCGTGGCGCACATAAACATTTACTTGCTAAACGTCTACTTACTAATTCCAATAAGGATCAAATGGATGTGGTCCCAGCTGAAATTCATGACCAGATGATAGAAATTGCAGTTCATGAGAGCAAAGTTTAAAATAACACACACCCATTCCTGAAATCGTTTAACTGTAAGAAAACAGAATTATTTAAGTTTTAACTGAGCAAAGAATGAAAACTTGAAACAATTGATAAAGATTTTACATAAGTCTACCTTTTGTTTGCTCAGCACAGACCTAGCTTGTCATTTCAATAAATGTGGAGCTGGAAAAGCATAGCAGGTCAGACAGCATCTGAGGAGCAAAGAAGTCAACGTTTCAGGCCGAAATTCAGCTGGAAGCATTTACTTCCCTGCTTCTCACATGCTGTCTGACTTGCTGTGTTTTTCCAGCTCCACATTTATTGACTTAGCTTCCAGCATCTGCAGTCCTTACTGTTTCCTAGCTTGTCATTTGTTCCAGAATCTGAAAATTGCCCCAGTCTGTACATCAGAACCTGGATTCTAACCTTGTCAACTATCCCAGACATGGAATGAAAACCTTGCTCTATGTAGTGTGCAACAGCCATACCACATTTAAAAAATGTGCGCACAAGCATCTTCTGGCTCAGTTTCCAGAAAAAGGTGAAAGAACCAATTCCATGGCGTTGGCTTCACCATAAGAATTAAACGTGTTGACCATCTCACTGAGTCCCATTCAGCAATAAGTGCTTCATTACCACCTTCGGTTTACCCAAATCGGTCGTCAATGCATAAATCCCAAGTCAGGGAAGCAATGGATGATGCCATAGAGAAATTCAACACCATCCTTGATCAATCATTGCCCTGTAACCCAGGGGAGACAAGCCAATTCTCCTTGGTGATTCCATGGCTAGAATTGGCCCAGAAATGCAACTTGAACAGTGTAGAGAGAGCAAACTGCAAGAGTCATCATTCTACAATGTTAGAATATGCTTGGTCGTAGCAAACACCTTATTTTGTCAGAGTCAGAGACAAAGACAAGACCTCACAGCAACACCCTCACTGTAGACAGTGGCACCTGCTTGTCAATGTCATCATCTGAGTATGGGACTACAAGGTTTTTGTTTTAATTAACAGGATGTGGACATTGCTGGTTGGACCAGCATTCACTGCACATCCTAGTTGCCCTGGGAGATAGTGGTGGTAAGCTACCTTCTTGAACTGCTGCATCCTCACTTGTCCACATCATCTGTGCTATGACGGGAACTGACAAATGCTGCACTAATCACCAGCTATTGCAGTCTACTATCTCCATCAATCTGCCTCAAACATTGTAGTGGCAGCAGGAAGTTCAATGGCGACAGACTCAAAACCCTAGTCGGTTCAGTGCCTCATAATCAATCTGGTATTGCTCAATGAACAGAAGCAGTCTGTTTTAAATCCCTAAGTGATACCTGCAAATAGACTTTGTTTCTTTACCAGAAAACATCAAGACTGGTTTGACAAAAACAACCAGGAGTTAGTAAAATTCCAAGTGTAAGGTATTCTGAACCTGAAACATTACCAATGCTGAAGGGAAAGAAGGCATTCTACAGACAAATGACAGCTGGGGTCCAACAAAAACAAGTGTGATCTAAGAGCAGATGGTGATAGAGAAAGGACAAGAAGCATGCAACTCACTGATAGCCATGACATGCATGGATTGTTCAGTCCAGTCACAGCCATCTATGAACAAGCAACCAAAGACATACGCAACTGAGAGCTAACAATGGAGAAGCATGCGTGAAATTCAGAAAGAGGGGACATTCATTAGAAGGAGCACTTTAATCATCTCGCCCACACCCCACAGCATGCTACCTATTACCATCTCGTCAACTTCATTGTGCAAAGGCCACCCAACAGCTGGGAAACAACAAGGCTACCTGCACAGACAGAATCCCCAAGAGATAACAATGAGATGTCCAAGAGACCATAATTGTGACAATCTTTCAGAAAAGAATCAAGATTCAATTGTAGCAACTCCAGGGGAATCCCCCAGCTGCTTGCCACAGCAAGGTCACTGCCAGAATGCTTCACAATCATACCCCACCACCCATTAGCTGAACAGCTCCCATAGTTGAATTGAGAATTCTGTCCATCGAGGGGCATTTGTCAGGATGTTCACAAGACAAATTCAAGTACAGAAAGCAGCAGTAATTGCTAGATATGGAATTTTTTGACCTCCCAAAGACCTTCAACTCTCAAATGGGTGGGACTATGGAGGATTCTGCTCAAAATTTGGTTGCCTGCAAAAATTAGTTACCTATTGCATGATTGCATGCAAGTAGTGATCCTCATCAACAGAACTACAAACTGGTGTCAAATAAGACTTTGTCGTCACATTAAACACTTGTCCATCTTCCTTGCCATAACATTCCATCCCACATCCAAGAACCTTCCTGCTGGCATGGGCCTAATCTACAGAACAAGTGGGAATCTATTCCATCTGCATCACCTCTAGTCCACAATCAACACTACGACAACTTCCACTAAACTCCTGTATGTAGACCCTTATGTCCATAGTGACCAAGTTCCAAACTATCAGAGAATCGGCCTCAGGTTAAACATCCAGAAGACAACGAAGGTCCTCTACCGGTCTATACCTGCCATACTGAATGTCACTGGACAATATGAATCAATTCCCATACTTGATTAGCCCTCTATCAGTGAGGGCCGAAAACAAATTTAAAATCACATCCAGTGGTCCAGCGCAGCCCACGGCCCTGAGGAACCAAGTATTTGAATAAAATATTTCACATCCAGCACCAAGGTCATGGTTTAAAGGGCAACAAGGTCTTAGAAGCCATATGCAGAGTCATGGACAATGTACGTCTCAATCCCTCAAGAGACATCAGCTTTGGTAGCTATAGAAAATTCTACAAATTTCCTGAGAGGACAGGTACTCTAATATCAGTGTCTCCTTTCAGGCCAACGACCCAGCAGTAAGACACTGATTATGAACAATTAGCTGCATTCGGTGGACCACATCATCTGTATGCCTGACAAGACTTCCAAAAGAATCTCTCTATTAAAGAGTCAGAGCAAAGGGCAGAAAAAACACTCCAAGAACATCCTCAAATCCTCCCCAAAAAAATACAACAGCACCAGTGTTCCATGGGAATCTCTAGGAGAATATCTAATTTGAAAACAAATGCTGATAGGCATTTCCAGCATCTGATAAGTTCAGATGGAGAACAAACGCAAACAGTGGAAGGAGCATATGAAAACAAGAGCATCCTACCCATCCGGCTTCAGCGAACACTATCTATTCCCCAACCCGAAATCCAGCAGAGTTTATAGATCCAGCGCTGGACTGTTTAGTCCCCTAAGGGGATCCACAACACCAGAGTGGGAAAAAGCAATAATTTCCAAAGGGTATCTGAGAAGAATATTGTGAAACACAGTATGAAATTAGGTATTTTATCTGTCTATACAGTACTTTGGCATTAACAATCTTTCAGATTAGTGAGTAGAGTGCTTGTCAATCTTCTCAATTTTTTAGCAAGTTCTGGAAACTGGATATTAAGAAAAATACTAGTTCTCAACATTGAACCACTAATGGAAAATTAAACTAATGGCACTAATTAAAGTGCTATTTTTGGGATATGCTGTGAAACTCTGGAAAGGATTTTCTCTTCAAAATGTGGCTAGTACATACCAGTTTGAGTTTTGATGTTCAGACTCCGATGTTACATTTGACTGAGCTCCAGTGAATGCCAAGAAAGCTGAGAAGAAACTCAAGAGCGCACAGCGCAATCCAGCATAATCCATTAATACCATTAGTGTTTACACATAGTGGATGCTGACATGTTCCTCCATCAAGAAATGTTCTCTATGCTAAAGTTCACAATAATCAATATTAACTTTACTCTGTCAGTTTTTACTGCAGATGGCCATTATATGATGAGTTGTCAAACCAAGTGAATATAAATATCAGGTAATGACAGTATCTATTAGTTAGCCAAAATCCTCTCTGATGAGCCATAACTTTGAAATATTTAGACTTTTTACAATTTAAGGGGTCAAAATATTGAAATACCAAAATCCACCAAATTTCATTAATCTTAAGGAAGATTGTGACAAAATACATGACATTGTTAGCAAAATTCAGAATGGGTGTATAAATAGAAATTGCAAGATGCTGCATCTTGGTATGAGAAATACGATGACCCATTGGAATATATAAAAAAAAAAGAGACTAAAAGTGGGATACAGGAGCAGAGGGACCCAGGGCACAGATTCACAAATTATTTAAAATAGTAACAGAAGTCAATGCAAATAAGGAACAGGAGCAGGAACTGGAACTGATTGAAGGAATAAGATCCAGAAGAGAGATGTTATCCTTGTGTAAAGTCTTGGCTAGCCCACAGTTCTGGTCTTCAGATTACAGAAAGATACAATACAAACTGAAGACCTCATTCATTCAGCTGTATTTGCAATTAATATTTATAATCCTAAAATATGAAAATAAAGGCAAGTTTGGCACTACCTTTGGGCCCCAAATATCAATGCTAAGATGTACTTATTCTTAGATTGCTGGGTAATTCCAGGACAAAGCAGGTAGATCTGGAGTGACAGAGATAGCAGGAACTGCAGATGCTGGAGAATCTGAGATAACAAGGTGCAGAGCTGGATGAACGCAGCAGGCCCAGC